TGGGATTCGAACCCATGACCATAAAATCGAAAAAAGGTTGGGACGATTCCCCCGAGACATTCTGTGAAGCTGAGGCGGCGAATCGATTTACATTCCGGTTAGAGATTTCGGCTCTTCCATGCTATCCCGATAATTGGTCCTAACTTCGCGCTAACTAAAAAGCCAGTGAGGGAGAAGCTATCCGGCCCCTAGACACTGATGGATAACCCCTTGCACTAACCAGGCAACTATCGAAAGTATAATGTCAAATTGGTTAGTCTATTCGGTGAAGGTGTCAAGTGGTCTATTATTATGCAAATGAGAGTGATCCAGTGGCGCACCGCGTTAAGGCGCTGCTTGCAAATCCAATGTATGTTTGACGGTAGCGGGATCGATTCCCTGGACGAGACGTTTAATGATTGTGTATTTTCATTTCTATTTTAATTATTGTTTATCTTTTTTTTATTTATTTACTTATTTATTTATTTATTTTTTTTACATAATTACTGTCGTGTTTCACTTTCCCAATAACCGACTTTTTTTACGAAGTGGCTATATGATCGGCTCCCACTCAAAGTCTTCGATGTACTAACATACTAAATGAGTAGTAGTTTTGTTTAGGAGTTTTTGTCTGTACATTTGTACCGCTCATTTAGGAGGGTTGCAATAGGATGGTACTCATCACGACTCACGGCTAAAAATTTGGCGATTTCACGACTCACGACTAATTTTTTCGAAACACGGTTAGATTGCTTTCACAAATTTTTGAAATACGTTTTTCATTGCTTTTTCATAATTTTTTTTTGCTAGAGATAGTGAGTGTAGGAGCAGTGTAATAGACACTCAGTTATTATAACGTTTTATCGTCACTCTCACATGTCTAATTTTGTCCATGCCCTGACTTGTCTGCAGGACCTTGCAATTACTGCCTTGTTGGTAGGTGCGATCCATTTAGAATTTTAAGGGGTGGGGGTGGAAGAGTGAAAGATTTAGGGAAAACAATTCGTGAACGTACCGAGGGGCCGAAAAAAAATTCTTGCAAGGCAAAATTTTGAAAAATCTCCACTAAAAGCTTTTATTTTTTAAATTTACAAAAAAAAAAAAGACAAAAAGAAAAAAAATTACAAGCGCGTGCCTGCTTCGGAATTGACTGTCCTTCTGAGGGACAAAACTGAATCACGGCTCACGCAATAAAATATATTCACGCCTCATGGCTAATTTTTTCGCATTTCACGAATCACGGCTAATTTTTCAGCC